AGCCTGACGCCTCCCTGGGCAAGGGCAATGCTGAAGCCTGAAATGAAATAGCTTACAGACAGACTTACAGTAAGGTTGAGCTTTATGGCGTCGATCATGGTGCGCAGGTCGTCCTTGTAGAAGTAGAACTTGCTCATGGCCGTCTGGATGACCTTGTCATCCCACACCTGAAAGCCATGTTGCGTTAGACAGAGGAACGACCAGAGAAGATCAGTGCCACGTACCAATTATTGTTGCATCATACGGCGGTGTTGGCGAAGCCGGTGGCAGTCGGAGAGATCCAACTTCATACTCAGACTTGTCCTGCAGCAACATGGGTGATTTTTTTTCCCAAGTTTTCTTTAGGGAGTCTTCATGTCTGGTTTGGAGGCGGCAACATTGTCCCAGCGTAGGAATAACATTCTCCCCACTCATTTTCTGCTACGCCGGTGTGCTTATCACCGACGATGGGCGTGCGGAGCCGTGTCTCCCATGAGTTTTCTGGGATCTAGTAGGTTTAAGTTTTTGATGGATCTATCCGGATTCAGCCGGCTTTCATGGTCTTCGGAGTTTCTACATGCCTTTTTTGGCATTTCCTTCTCCAGGGCAGCAATTTGGTTCGCAGAATCACGGCCTCCGGACTTTCCTGATATGCATCGAGGACTTTTCGGCCGCTGCTTCTACAAGCTCATAGGTTTATTAAAATTTACTCGGTCAAGGCGGAGGCCCAAAAGCGGGACTAAGCTATGCTCATGGCGTGTCGCTGGCGGATGCAAGAGTGAGAAGACTTGGGCACTCCCAAGAATTTCATTGTTAATTTTATCTTTTTGCATGAATGTGTTTGCAATGACTTGTGATACTTAATATATGGCCTTGGGCCTTTTCACATGAAAAACAGCCAGTTGACCGACGCGGAGTAATTGATCCCGAACACACAGGCTCTCGGAATCTGTCACGCTCCATATGTCGTCGCGATTCGCGTTACCTCGCACACGTGACCAAGGCCGGGCCCAGCAGAGGACGTGGCAGAGATAAAGAAAAGGAGGAATCCCCTGGGCGATGGGGCAGAACGGGATTTCCGTTTCAGGCTGTGGCCGATCGGCGTCAGAGCCGTGGCTCGAGTCCGCAGCCAATTCCTGATCCGTGGATCAGTGTCCGTTAACGATGTCAATGGGCTGGAGTAAATGAACAAATGGGTAGGTGGATATGGTGGCTCCTTCCTCTCGCACCTGTCGGTTGGGTTCTATCGGGGCGGCTCGGTAGCGATAGCAGCAGATCTAGGGTTCGAGAATCTCTGCTCCGGCATGCATGGAGTTCTTGACGCAGCCGTTCAACAGGTGCGAAATCTGCCCGTGTCTGCTCTTTCTGGTCTGCGATTTGGTTTTGCTAAAGTGGGGGATCTAAATCTTGAGCGCTCGCTGTGTGTGTGTGCAGTAGAACTCCAATTGAAGAGGTGACTGACAGCGATTTACCAATGGAACCGTTGCATCACCCTGTTAGATCGCCGCCCGGCGCTGAAGTGGCAGCTGCGAGTGCTTCAAGTGGCCGGGCGCAGATCTGTCCGTGGATCAGAATTGCTGCTTGCGGGCGACGCCCGCAGTTGTTGCAGTTATTGCGGCTGTGAATGGGCACGAGCGACTATCTCCTACCTCTTCTCCTTGGATCTTGCATTATTGAAAAAACGCGAGCCGGTGGAGAAAGTTCTTTCTAGAAGGCGAGTGGCAGATCCGGCAACTATGGAGTTCTTGATGCAGCCGATAAATAGGTATGGATCTGTTCGCCCTTGATGATTGTTCGTTAATTTCTAGACTTATGATTCGCATTAGATCTGATTAGTCTGCGGGCTACTTGGTGGAGCAGCACAACTCTGCTCGTGGTCAACCAGAACAACATCCCCATGAGTCCCCTTCATTACCCTGTGATGACGCCGCCGCTGGTCGAGGTGTCGGCCCTGACGGCTTCAAGTGCAGATGCGCAGCTTTGTGCTCCGGAAGCTGCTCCAGGTGCAGGCAGTGCAGAGAAGCCTCAAGGTCCAGGGAACTCTATAGAACATGTTGACCCGAAAACTCTTGGCTCGACTAAAAGGTGTGAAGTTATGGATTGAGATAGTTTTAATTTCCGTCTTAGCACTGAGTTGAAATAATGTCATTTGGTAAAAAATGTAAGTACGTATGATAGAAGTAATTTGAATGGATATGGAGTGATTTTAGTGAATATTGTGTGGACTACTGAATTTTGTAGTTTGGGTAGTTTGTCATGAAAAAATTGTACTGTAAACAACTTTGTGCTTGATTGTTAGCGAACCAGAATGAAAAAATGTACGCCAAAATTGAGCCTGGTAAAAAATTGAATTCAGTCCTGTTAGGATCTGCACTGGCTGCTCAATATGTCAGGCTATACAAACTGAAGAACCATGCATACATGACACAATTTTATGAGATATGGCACAAGTGGATGAAGTCTTACTTCACATGTGTGTTTTGTGCTAAGATGACCAGTACGCAGTGGAGTGAGAGCGCTAACCATAAGCTGAAATTTTTTGTGTCTCCAAGCTGTCCCATGCATGTGTTTGTGAGGAAATACATGAGACTGATGTTTGATAGGGAGTCTGAGGAAAATTATAAGGAGAACCGAACAAAAATTACAAGATACTTACTAGAAAATAGGAAAAGTTTTTTTTTTCTGAATAATGACAAGTAGTTGTCTGACAACGTCAAATCGCTGATTTTGCAGGGGAGGCCACTTATGCGAGCAAGCATGGCAACCGAAAGACATGCTGGCAACATATATACCAGAGCTATGTTTGGGCAATTCGGCCATATACTACAAGAGTGTGGTGCATACCAGATGGAGGAGATTGAAATAGGTAAAACATATGTTGCTAATTTGAATGTGAATGGAGGCAGTTTGCCCACATGGGGTTGCTATGCAGCCATGTACTGAAGGTAGTCCTGAACTGTTAATTATGCAATTAAGATTTATGTGAAAATTGTTCATGATTGCTCTTGAATCATTTGATGAGTGCAGACTGATTCGATGCAGGTACAAAAATCCCAAAGAAGCATATAGTAAAAAGATGGACCAGAGATGCACGGGATATCCTCCCGCCTAACCTGACACAGGTACCAGCTGAGGGACCATGCTCAACAAAACCCATTTAGTTACAGGCATTTCAATATGTATATGCATGCGATGGAGCTTGTGCGCATGGGGGACAGCAGTGTGAAAGCATATGAGCATCTAATCTCCTTGTTCAAGAAATATGCTGCTGAAATGAAGCCGTTTACAGAGATTGGGAGGCCTACCACAAGTAGCGAGAAGGCGCCGTATGAAGGTTTAAGTAACGCACAAAATTCTGCAATATATGTCGGAGACTCGGAGGCAAGGGCACAAACGAACAACCTGCCCTGATCAGGCAGATGTTCCGAAGCAGCCTCGTAAGCCAGCCAGATGCAAAAAACTGTGGTGTTGAAGGTCGCCGCAGGAACAACTGTCACATAGCAGCTGAACTAGGACTCAAATAATTGATCCGAGTGATCAAGCTTTCCGGTTGTAGAACTATGTTAGACAGATGATACTAAGTTGTGTGGTTCCTGTAAAAAAAATCTTGAGCCTAGATGAACATAACATGTGTGTTAGCAGAGTACCAAAAGAATAATTTCAGTTCTAGCATGCTAGATAGGACATTTTCAGACTTAAAAATATTGCTTGCTGTTGCTGATGCTGTCGTTCTTTAACGAGAAAAACAATGGTTTCTTTAGGATGACTACAAGTAGGGTAGTGATCTTCAGGTGGTGATGATACCCTGTTTCCGAATTACTAGTGTTTGATTCACTGTCTATATCCAAGAAATGTGATGTTCAGGTGGGGTTGATTTCATGTTTCATGGTAATTACAGTATTATATTTGGTAGATGAGTAGATATGTTGTGTGTCCAGATGAACTTGATCCCAGGTTTTGAGGTGCTGCCATATATTGTTTTGAGGTGCTTTCAGAAACCAAATACCGCTGCATGGCATTGTTTGCTTGCTGAATGGTTGGGCTAGTTAATGCTGACATGCTGTGGAACGAAGTGCTGGGACTAATTTGAGTTGATTGAAACACTAGTCTACGAGGGGGTGGATTGAATCTTGAAGAATAAGAAGAGAGCCGAGCCGTCCTGAGAAAGATTGATAGTTTTTATTTTTTGAGGCTAGGAAGATTGGTAGGTCCAATGGTGGTTTGTAGTAAATGGGTTTGCCGGTCCACATTAGACCAGAATCTTGGCTGAGACGGCCCACATCGTGTATCTCCTTCTGTCCCGTCATAGCGATACGTGACGGGGTTAATTGAACGGCATTTGACTTGTGGGCCTTATGCCTGTACCAGTACCTCTAGTTGCATCGATCGTAAGATGAAGTAGTGGTACAGATTTCGGGATCACTGCAGCTCAGGCTCACATAAGCACTTTCGCCAGTTGACCCTGTCTACACAACTTCATGCA